GAATGCAGAGGCTGTTCAAGAGTGCGTAGCAGCCCACATGTCTAAAAACAAAGAACAGGTAATAACAAAACGGAATCAAGCAGCCGAGGAGATCATGTTTAAGGTAGGTGAGACAGTCTATAAACAGGTGGCGAAAACTGCGAGAAACGACAAAACTAAACCCGTCTTCAAAGGACCCTACAAAATCATACACCTCCACCCAAACAATGTTGCTGAAATCATAGGTAACCACCCAAACGCGAAATCCATAAGAGTACACTACAAACTCTTACGAAGGCCACATCTTGTTCCAGGACTCTCATCGCAGGAACCTTCGTGCTCTTCGCAGTTGCAAACCTGACACTTACCCCTGTTGACAATGTTAACGGAATTCTGTTGCTAAAACAAGGGCAAGTACTTAGACAGGTTGATACTTTTAGTCTAGCTTGTGTCTATAACGTAACATACATTCGAGAAATAAACACTAAACTTCTAGCACTTTACGCTAGTGTAAAATCTATCGAAAATGACGATAGTTCGCATAAGTCCTATAAAGACCAAATAGAGCATAGCTTAAATTTAATAAATAAGAAAATCATATTTGTAGCACCGCACATTAGAATTAAACGTGGTATTATAAACGGCTTAGGTTCTATCGTGAAAGCAATAACAGGAAATTTAGATAACGAAGATGCTATAAAGATAGAAAATGAAATAACAAATTTAAGAACTTCAGTTAATAATGTCAGAAATTCACAAAAGAAATCTATATTTTTGGCAGAAAACACAATAAAAGAATTTAGTAAACAAATTAAAAGTCTAAACAATAATCAAAATAAATTAGTCGAAATGCTATCAAATACCACTATTAGTAATAATTTAGTACTTAGCCAAATGCACTTCTTAGATCTTTATATTCAAATTAATCTTAGTTTACAGGTAGTTTTAGATAAATTAGCTATGTTAGAAGATGCAATGACATTTTCTCAGCTAGGTGTAATGCACCCTAGTATAATTCCTCCTCATAGTTTATTATTAGAACTGCATAATATGCAAAAGTTACATTCTCTTAGGCCTGTAGATAATATTAGTATAAGAAATATTTACAAGATAGAAAAATCCATCGTAGTAAAAGCTTACAGCACAGAACACACGCTAACATTCATATTAGAGATACCATCCATAGACAATAACCTTTATGATCTTATCCACATATATTCTATCCCTGACAAACAAAACCTTACCATTATTCCCAAATCCAAATACCTCGCACTGGGAAACAATGAGTACGCCTACCTACAGGAGAGCTGCAAGAAGATCACGCAAAATACACAACTTTGCCCTCTGTTGAATACCCAAGACATAGAAAAAACAGAAGACTGTATAATATCACTCATAAAACATCAAGAAGCCAACTGCACCAAGGCGAGGATGAACATCAAACATGGGAAAATTCAAAATCTCCAAGACAACAAATGGCTTCTGTTACTACAAGAAGAAGTCATCCTGCGAACGACCTGTGGACCAAAATCCAGCTATAGAAGAGTAGATGGAATACAAATCGCCTCTATTACAAGCGACTGTCAAATAGAAGTCTTGAATAGAACCCTGAAGACCAATAGCAACCACATCTCAGCTGATGAAGTTATCCCCCTTCCAAGCCAGACATTTGCTCCAGTAAGCAACGTACGATATGAACTCCAATTGGAAGACATACCTTTGGATAGCATTCACGAATTAATGGACCGCGCAGAAGAAACCTTTAACGACAGCGACATCAACTGGCAAACCATCATGGCAACCCCAAGCTGGTCTACATTGGCTTTATATTTATTGCTGACTACATTCGTTGTATGGAAATTATACCAGTGGCATCAACGAAAGCAGAAACCAATTAAGGAGTGCACCGAGGACGCTGCAGGAAGCTGCGGGACGCGCTTCCATCTTAAGGAGGGAGGAGTTAAACGATGCAAAACTGCATCGTCTGCTGACCCAAATTCGGACGCACCAACGTGCGTCACAAGTAAAGTGCAAATGTAGGATAAGTTAGCTGTAAAATTATTAATATAGTTAAATCAGTCTTTGTAGAATATTCAGATAATAAACTTGTAATTAAAATAAATAAATATTTTTTTTATAAATTAACTGCCGTCGTAAACTTATGTTATGTTTTTTTTTAAACAATAATCTGTAGGATATTTAATAATTTTAACACCAATAGCGCGGAAAATAAGTAAAACAATTACTTCGTAAAAAAATAATCACGAACTCATAAATAAGAAAACATCAATAAATTACCATTAATCAGGAAATCTTGTGACCCAGTTTTGTCACCTTGAGTTCTATTCACAGTTCATTAAGTTCCAAAATGCAAAGTAATAATAATTTCCGTAAAAAAAAATTGCTTCCGCCGAAAACAATAACATGATGGAGTGAACAACAATACAATGAATATTTGATGCTTACAATATTTCCGAGTTTTATTTATTTTATTAGACGTTGGATATTTTACTTTAGAAAAAGCTTATTAACTTAAATATTATTAATTACAAATCAACACTCGTCAGTCTTTAAGTTAAAATAGATTTCGAAATTAAGTAGAATCTTTATTTCTGTGGTCGAGTGGTTCGATTTGTCACCACTTTTGAAATCTCGTATTCAAAACACTCGATCGAGGAGACCGATAAGGGATGTCTTTCTTTATCATGTCAAGTTATAATCATACTCAATTATATATTGGAAGGTTGTTTTATTCATACTAAAGGACTATTTGCTGATTATTATGAATATTATTTTTACAATAATTATGTTTCATTTGATCATTCGACAGCACGTTAAGTAACTTCAAAACACGACATTTAGTCGATCGCAGCGGCCTTATGTACGAGTGTGTGAACTGACTGAAATGAAATGAAAATGTTTTTATCCTAGTAAGCTTGTTTCAAGCACGTTTGAATCGTCCAAAAATGTTCCCCTTCCTGTTCAGGACTCTTTTAGCTGACAAGAAGAACCAGCGAAAGAAACTTACCAGCTCTTTATCATAAGTAATGACATTAAATCACGTCATTACCAAAATAGTACGTATTATAATAATAATAATGACATTTTTCAAAGTCTGTAGGACATAGGCTGGTACATATACATAATTAGTCGTTATAGAACAAAGCGAAGGCTATTAATTCCATGCATTGTGCTCCTTTAAATAACTGAGGTACACCCATAGTAAATAGCCTTTACACATAAGAATGTTTTTTAAATGAATTTTAAATTTATTTACGCATAGGTCACTTAAATTTATGGAACTTTATTGAACATAGCAATGTATTTACCTAGAAATGATCCTCTGGTTTTCTAAAATCTGAAGCTTGGAACGGCAAGTTTATATTTCTTATGTGAAGATTATGAACACTACTTTTTTGTGAAGTTTTCTTGCGTACATAATATTTTCATAGATGTATTGAGAAGCAACAGTCAAAATATTTATTTCTTTAAATATTTCTCTGAGAGATTCCCTAGACCGTAAATTAAAAATATCTTGAATACTAGCTGCAGTACCCCACAACAATAGGCCATACATCATTACACTGTGAAAATAACTAAAATATACCAATCTTGCCGTTTCAACATTTGCCAAGAGTCTTTCTACTTGACAAGTTATCAATATGAGGACTCCATTGCAAACGAGAATCTAGTTTAATAACTTTGTCGATTCTACCAACTCAACTTTTTCACTATTTACATTTATAAGTGTACTGACATGCCTCACATTAGGTAATGCAAACTTTATGCATTTCGTTTTAATTGAATTGAGCTTTAAATTATTATTATCAAACCACTGTAGAACATTGTCGAGAGCATCATTTATCGTCAAAACAATCATTACCCCTGTTAACTTTCAACACTAATCAGCAAATAATACTGTCTCGCACAAATTCTCCGTAAAGTGAGGAAGATCATTAATGTAAATTAGAAAAAACAATGGTTCTTATACCGATCCCTGAGGTACACCCACAGTAATGGGTGCCCCTGCAGATTTCGCTTCATTAATGACAACTTTTTAAATTCTAGCAGAAAGATATGATTAGATTAAGTTAGTTTTTCGGCACACCATAAAACTCTAATTTCCCCAACATTGTTTAATGACTAACGCAGTCGAATGCTTTTAAAAGATCGCAATAAATGCCCATAGCATCTAGTTTACTCTCTCAAGCATCATAGATATGTCTCAGAGTTGCAATTCCAGCGTCTGTGGTACATTTATCTTTGCTAAAACCAAACTGATTTTTGTGAAGTAATTTATTCAACTAAAAGTGTGCAAGCAGTTGATTGTAAATAATTTTCTCAATTACTTTACTTAGTGCTGGTAGTATAGATATTGGTCCAAAATTAATTGGATCTGACTTGTCGCTTGCCTTGAAAAGTGGGGTTATTTTTCCATATTTCATTAAATCAGAAAAGTTCCTTCATCAATGCACTTATTAAAAATAAAAGCTAATTGAGGCGCAATAGATGATATATAGATACCATTAGTTGAAACGCCCCAAAGATCTTCGGTTTTTTGACATTTATGGAATTAAATGTTTTAATAATTGAGTGGTCGTTAACATGACTAAAATGAAATTCAGTATTGCACTTATCAACAACTGACTCTAGGTGAGTAACCGCAAGTCTAGAATATGAAGTAAGATTTCTAGTTATTTCTATTGGTGTCTTAGGTAATAATTTCAAATGTATCGGCAACCGCTTCATCTGTTTTAATAATTTTATCCAATGTAACTTCTAATTCCAATGTAGTATTATGTGTATACAGAGTTTCTTTTTTAATTTACAAAAGTTTCCTGATAAGAACTGTTAAGTCGCCGATTGACCACCTACTGAAGGTTTTGTCTGCGGCGTTTAAGCCCTTTGTTCACAAATTTTCTTTTATTGCACCATTTCAAAATGCCGAAATACATACTGATGAAGTAGAAAAACAGCAATATACTAAAACTGTATAAAGCATAGAAGGTATTATTATGAATTTAGCCTTTTAATGGCGTCATTGGTAGGACGGGGTCTAGTGCAGGTTGATGATGGTCGGATACCACGGGGGCTGACAACGTCAAGAAGCGAGGAAGGCCTTGAGATAATAGTTTTTTGATTGTGCAACTTGTAAAACCACCGAGCGGCACAGTCACTGCGCCATCGCGCGCTTCTCCTATGAACCGTTTAACGGCCAAGTCGCATGCCTGCCTGCAAAAAAAAGTAAAAAGAAATATAAAGAAAAGTTCAGTTAAATGCATTTTGAATTCTCCTTAAACTATAACTTTTTTTATTTGGTGGGCCATGTTCGGTGTTTTGGGAGATTTGTACAAGGCCCGGAACGTTTGGTTGTCAGTTCATTTTATTAAAGCAACGGTTGAGGACACTGAATTACTTACCCTGGCCTAACGACTACATTATTAAGGAATTAATATTTATACAAGCTTACGTAAATCATGATTTCAGACATCTTGAATATTTGAACATCCAGGAGCATTTAGGAATCTAGATCAGCGTCTAAATTTTGACAAAATATGAATTTTAAACAACGTAGTCTTATAAAGTTATCGTGTCAAAGTAGAAATAGATGGTATATACGTTTAATAATTTCATAAATATCATTCCTTTCACTTGGACGCTTACTCTGATTAATGATTAGTGTTTGCATATTATAAACATTACTGGAGAAGGAACCAGCAACAGTTAAGTTTCCGCCATATTAATAACTTGTTTTATATCACTTACACATATTATATTACTATACAGTACTTTACATATATTTTCTAAATTATGAAGACTTCACTTTGTTTAACCCGCATGCTACGTTCATAAACGAAAACACAATGAAGTTAAAAGTCGTGTAGCAAAACTGGTGTGCGAACTCTCTCCATTTTGTAAAGAGTTTTTCTGTAATCCAAGACTGAATTATTTTTTGCTAACGTTTAATTCACATTATGTCATAATTATCGAGTAAAAAAATTGTTTCGCTTTAACTTTTTATATTTGTTGTCTACCAAAACCAGCTACAAACTACATACAACATTTTGAAGTTAAAATGATATAAAAAAGTTTTTTATTTATTGACCACACTTAAGTCTATTTACATTAGAGTAACTGAAATGAAGAAAAAAAATAACAATTACAGGTGACAGTTGACTGTCATAAAAACAAACAGAAATAAAAGCAACGAATAAAATATTGCGCTAATTAAGTGACTTTCGGTGAATGTCAACAGTCTTTGGACATACTCAAAACAAAACCCGTTTTTCTTCATTCTGATAAACCATATTATAGCTCAGTTTATATATTCGCTTGTTGCTGCAGCGCGATGCCGCCGCGCTGTGGGCAACATTTAGCTGACATTATCTACTAATTAATCAAGCGCGGGGTCCTTGGATGATGCCAAGTGGGTCTGACGCTTCGCCAGCTCCGAGCCTCAACTAGGTCGCACTACTAACTCATCAAACCCCAAGAAATTGACCTGAATAATTTCCTCGAACATAACAGCAATTTGGCAGTTCGTTTAGAGTATGTTTGTAAGTTAACAGTGTGTATTTGGAATATATAAAATGTCTGCTGACAACGTATTTTTGCACTGTACATTTCAAATGCTTATTTAAATATTTTGGCTTTACATTTATAGCAAAATTTTTTTATATGCTTTCGATTATTTTTTTTTATAGCATCTATACTACAAACACATTTCTATTCTATGCGTTTGAGTTTAAAATATAAATTTTTAAGCGATTTCAAAAAAATGAGGAGGTTCGCAATTCAATTAAATCTTTTTTGCATGTACCGTGTTCCGCGATATAGATCGATTTTAATGTTTTAAAGTTCAGCTCAGAGCTGTTTCATATCTAAAACCTGGAAGTACAACGTTGTCAAATTATTTGGACGATATCGTAGTCACTGCAATTTGTTTAATTCAAGTAAAAAAAAAAAAATACTGAGAATTACCAAAAGTGACAAAGATAATTAATAAATTTCATTTGAACTTCATTTGAATTCGGGCAGTTAAAAGCATCGCCATCAAATCCCCATCCGATATCAAATAAAGTTTATTGATTTTTTTAACCACCTTTGTAGTTTTTGACAATAATGGTATTTAAAAATAATTGACTTAGTGTTTGATTGTATCGTTACTCGACCTGTTATTATATGCTAGACAAATATTGAAATAGAGGTAATGCCTGATTACACAGCACAATATTCGGTTAATCATTATTTACTGCAAACAACCTGCTCTACAACAAGAATCCTGTTTCCAGGAGTTCGGCGACAAAGTTTAGTGATTTAGATGCTTTAGTTCTAAAAGTAATCATGTTCTGTTAGTTTTTGTCCGTTAGAGCAGGGCGATAACACAGCATACGTAATACGCTCGACTTGCTAACTCTAATTTGAAAGTAAAGATAGAGAATGCGACGAAATATGAATCAATTGTATATTAACATTATTATCAGTAGTCGACATATTGGCAAATTTTACGTGTAAATATTTTAAACGTTTTAATTTCAAAATAATGACTGATTTATTTTTATATAAATGTTTTAGTAATATAAATACAAAGGCCTTTGTATAAATTAGAATAAATGGAATATAATAAATCGCTACACTAGTGAAATAAATATAAACAATAAAATGTGGATGAGCTCTATTATATTTATTTTAAAGAAAATTTACAGCACATTCTAGGACAATTTATTTAACAAATGTTAAAGGCAATTTCGTTGTGTAAATTTTGGGAAGAGACACTGAGTACGGCTCTACACGTGTAGTACATCAGATCTTGCTCTTAGTAGGTATTTCAATGTGTATGTTCGCAAAGTGTATAGTGCCGGTTGAAGTTGGTGCCGGTGACGTCATCACTCCGTACACAATTAGTACGTAATCATGCCCCTGTTTTATTCCCCACTAATCAGCCGATCTGACGAAATAGCTCTATTAAGCAACCACGCGATACTTACATCCGCGTGGGTAATTGATTCACTCGCGGAAGGAGTCGCACGCACTCGCCTGTGACCTTCACCTGGAAATAATATACTTTACCGAATACACGCTTAACATATTTTCAATTAGTCAACTTTTATAAGCCTATGTACATTCAATACAAAAAACACATTATATATTTTTAATAACCTCAGAAAACTTACAACAAAGATATTGGAATAAAATATCTATCTATTAAGGTTTAATGACAGCACTAATGAATGTCAAATATGTATCGGTAATGTCGCTTTATTAAACACACGACAGTTAAAATGGACGTTTGTGTAACTGGCTGACAGACATTCTTTAATAGAATTAAGAAATACGTATATCAATAATATATTCTACACACGGATGATGATTCTTTATCATTTAAAACCACATAGTTCGATGTAAAACGATCTCGCCACAAGCCGTTACGCCAACGCAGCCGTTACGATATATGAAAAATTTAATTTCACACAGTAATAGACGCTCAGCATAATATTGTTCAACAAAACGGTAACAATGTGAAGCCTTCCGCAAAGTTTTTGTTGAGATTATTAACTCGGGGAATTCCCGTATCTCACGGATATCGAATCGAGCGATCCCTCCACTTCATTCCACAATTTCGGAATATTAAGAATGTCATAATTGACATTTCAAAGCGGCTGCGACGCGACTCAGTTAAGAGTTCGTCGGGACTTAATAAAATACGCCCGCGGCTCTCTGAACGATATTTGAATTTTGCACCGTACGTACACAAACACCGGTTACGTTCCTCTTATTTCGTTATAAAATAAACACCATCCAGTTTGAAACTCACGTTATTTGCTTTTAAACGTGGAGACGAGCGCTGTTATTTCTCGTATGATTAATTTTTAACGTGCTCGTAATGAATTGTCATTACACGTGTAGAGTCGTGTGTGCGTAAGGAGAGTCTAAGAAGCGACTCCTCCAGTTTGGAATGAATTAAACGTCGCGTTAATGCGTCTGTTCCGAGCGAGGAAGCACAAAGGGTGTGCCGGCGATTGTCCCGGAGGCTCATGTAATATTCGCGAGGGAAGCTATTGTGCAGGCGGACGAGGCTCGCTCGCTCACTCGCTCCCTCGCTGGGTGCGGACGGAGTGCACGATTCTCTCGAGACAACAATTTGCGAGCGCTCTCAGATTTACACAAAGTGCCCACTTCCACAGATATTATTCTTTGAGATTCCCCCGTTTAACCTTCAGCTCGTGACTCCTCTCGAATAATAAAAAAGTAAACATCCAGAGTGCTTTATGTAACCGTTTCAGTTAATGAAAGGCTCTCGGGCCGGCTGAGAGCGCCGCCGCCTCACTTATAGAGGACACTCGACGAACGCTCCTATACTACTGAATCATTAAGCAGACGTTTACATACAAGATAAACAATTTTAAGGTGTTTCGCTGAAAAAACAGAAGCAACAGCCTTTAAAAGTATTTTAAACGGAATATCGCGTAACTTTGTACTAGTATTTCAGATTCTCTGTCTTGAAAGGGTAAATTCTAAGGATCAGTCACATCTCTGTCTGTTCATTTTTCTCACATCAAGGGGCACGGAAGTGCCCCCGCCAATTTGAGCAAAAAATTAAAAAGGGTACGGCCGTACCATCCTTTTCTCGAAGCCTTTCAGGCCATTTTGACCCCCTGTAATTTCGTTGTGGAGTAAAATATAAAAATTTTCAGTGACCAAGAGGGCATCACATAACTGGGCACATTTCTAAATCACGTTCAATTTAAATGAGTACTTTAAGAATTATTGCAATTTAAAATACCTTAATTTTGTCACTGACTGACTTGTAGATCAACAAAATTCTAAGGTACTTCTAGCAGACCCACTGGCTCCTAATTTAGAACACTGTTATAATTTCCATACAAAATAAGGAAAAATCTAACATTATGAAATATTTATGCCGTTTTTTGTATTTTTATATTATTTACTAGCTTTCGCCAGCGGCTTCGCCCGCGTGGTTCCTAACGAAATGTTTAGTGAGATAAAAAATAATTGAAATAATTCTGTAGGTATATCCAGGGTAAAGTAAATCTGACCTAACTAACTTCTATTTTTTTTTCATTAACAATTTCATGTTTGCTAGTCAATCACGCTGCAACCACTGAACAGATTTTGATAATAATAATCAAGATTATGATTATCTTATAATATTGATCTATATACGATGTTGTATGATGTATTATTTGCAACAAGTACATACAGGTTCCTTGCACTTGACACTCGAGAACATGCCACATAGAGCTGGCCATGGGTAAAGCAGGGAATGCCCAAATGTATGCCGGCCACTTTTAGGGTTTGTCCCTGGGACTTATTGATGGTCATAGCAAATGCCAATTTCAATGGGAACTGCAGCCTTTTGAACTGGAATGGCAAATTGTGGGGTATAATGGGTATGCGGGGAATCAACACGCTCTCGCCTTTAGCTGGTCCCGTAAGTATTGTTGCTCGCAGAATGTTTCTTCCCAATTCGCTGATTTGTAATCTTGTGCCGTTGCATAATCGCAGAGCGTCAAGATTACGCATCAACTGGGACGCCAACCTTCAGCTCCAGCTTGTGGGGCGGTACGCAGGTCAATTCTAATGAGTTGAGAAATTCCACGGAATACGCAGTGCTGTCATCGCTTGCCATCACCGTGTCTATGGACGTGTACACCCTCGATGCGCCATCTACTACATCTAATACATTGTTGTTTATTTTATTCACTAATTCATTTACTCCTTATTATTTAATTTGTTTTTTAAATCGGGAAATACATCGGCGAGTAGTTCTTCCTTAGTAGCACAAAATTCATTGGTGAAAATGATTTTGCCGTCCGGATCGGTTTTCAGCTTACCATCTCCGATATCGAGCAGCTTACTCGCAAACGCACCTGACTCTGTATCATTGTAAGGTTGTGCACGTATATTCCGAGTAAGGTGGAGTTTTTCTACGTAGGACCAAAATGACGAAGCCTTGAGACACGCGTTCATTTCATCTGCCGGTGTACTCTTTTCAATAACTGGAAGAGTTTGCCGAAAATCTCCAGTGAGTACAACAGCAGCACCTCCCATCAGCGTCTCATTGCTGCGGATGTCCTGCAGGCTCCGGTTCAAAGCCTCAACCACGCGCTTGTGCGACATTGTGCACTCGTCCTACACGATTAATTTACATTGTTGCAAAAGGGCACCGCGGTCGCTGCTTTTGCTAATGTTGCACGTTGGGTTTTCTTGACTTGCAAGATTCAGAGGTAGACCCAAGAAATAAACAAAGAGTTAATTGAAAAGTAGATTTAGAAAGCTAGATACAGATCTTAATATAAATATGTAAAGTTAGAGAATTGCTAAATAGATAGAAAATATAGAAGTTATTTGAGAGAAAATCACACAAAATGTCAAGTCAAGTCCGTTAGAATAGCCAAATCGACAAATAGAACCAATTGACAACGCAGAAATCACTTACAACGAAGAGATTATTGAATCGCACCGCAGAGTCACAGTCATCTATATCCAAGTAGTTGCGGTAATTCAACATCGCAATGTAGAATTCAGGCAATGCCATCTGTTGGGCTTAATATTATCGATTACATTAAAAATGCTGTTTTATCTTAATACATACATGTACATAAAATAGTGTTTAGAAAATCGGCAATATACGTTGTTTTATTTTCTCAAAAACATCGTATTAAAATCTAAACTACTTATCCAATCTACATGGTGTAAAAGACAATTTTCATGTATATTAAATTTCTTCGACGATAAACAGATTTATTTCGATAAGGATTTAATATCACCTACTCAAATAAACGTTTAAAGATGGACGAAAAATTTAAATAGACTTATATAAAGTTCTTTTTATTTTTGTGGCAAAACCCTTGCATATAGATATATGACATCGCGGACTTTTTTATAGATAATTTAAGGCTCTCCAACTTTTCCTAAGAAAGCATTAGTATATCTCATACCGTTTAGGCAGCGTTCACAAAAATAGGCGCCGTTGGAGGTACTTTTATCCCTAGGGAACCTTTTGGTGGGATAAAAAGTATCCTATTATCTAAGTCAGGTAATACTCTATCTGTATACCCAATTTCATCAAAATCCGTTCATTAGTTTCGGCGTGATTGACGTACAAACATCCAAACATCCAAACATCTAAACATCCAAACAAAGAAACTTTCACATTTATAATATTAATAGGATACCTGTTATCTATAACATTTTGAAAACATCTGTCAATGTGTTGTTAACAAAGGTGGGACACGCCTTTAGAAGTGACAGCTGATATTTTTACAAGCGCCATCGAACGGTAAACCCTGTAAACTGAAACATCAACAATGATGTAGCAAGACAACCAAACAAGGGATTTGAAGTTCAATAATAATATCGAAAATATGTTTCATTCATTTCATTTTCATTTTACATATATGACTTGGTTCATCTTGGTTTACGTTGATTTCATAACTTTTTACGGCAAAAGAATTGCATTGTGAGAATTGTGCATTTTTGTACATGATATGTTTTGATGGGATCTAATTTGTTTTGAAAATATTAAAGCGATTGAAGTAAATTTTGATAAATATATTAATTGTAATTTTTGGACGGTAAATTTGAAAATAAAATAATACGTTTATTCTTAATACAAAATGCTTAAAAAATCCACTCGGTCCCTGGCACCCTGAGATGGGAATCGAACCCACGACCTTTCGAAAACCGGGTGACTGACATAACAGGCCTGACGAATCTTTCAAGCACTTGTTACTTTTCGCTACTACAGAGCGTATTCTCATCAATGTTCAGGCATCCACCCAAACAGCCGAAAGAAATATTGTTACAAATATTGAAACTTTCAATAAAGATAAGAATTTTGTTCAGCAATCAACTTTACACTAAATTATTAAATTAACTAATTCTTAAAATATTTTTCTTCTCTAACATCGATTATGGGCAGTGTAACAGATGACATTATTGTCTAAAAATAAGTATATCTTTTGAACTGGATGCTGTGCGTGTGTCTTCTCATGTTGAGTGAATATTTGTACAATTTCATGCTGTGTGAATAGTAGACCGATTATTAGATGGGAGCTATAAATACACACTGAACCAATGTGGTCGATCCCATTCTGTTTCTTTCCACGGGAATGTCTTCTTCCATAGCGAAGCGAATGTTGATTAAAAATACATATGAGACGTGCCGGAGTTCAAATTATTAACTTGAATTCCTTAAATGTTATATTCAATTTTACATAAGCTAGTTGAAACTGGCGCCCAGAAACGTACATTTCTACTTATGACCCCATATGCGGGTTATATACGAAGATAGTATTCAAACATAAAATAAATCGATCGCTGTAAACTCAATGACCATACAATTCAAGATCACCTTTGTTACTACTTTTACATAATGTTTGAAGCAGACTCGATATGAAGTTCAGAATTTATTTAATAATGTCGAGTTAACCTTTCGGATTGAATACGATCTCGAGTCCGTCCCCTCCCGGCTCTTTCCTTTGTAGATACACTATACACACGGTATACGGGTGTTTTGGTTCAATTTGCCACTTTTGTCCGTTTCATTTTACCTTTATTTCAGATTTTCATTTTACATATCTAGTATGTTTTCTTTAAGATAATCTTCTTTTGGCAAAAAACGTTCAAGTCAAAGCGATCAAATATGATAACGTGTATTATTTATCAATTTTCTTTTCTTATTGTTCTTAGAAATGTCGTTACGCAATCGCCCGCCCGCCCACTACCCACAATTTAAGTACTATATTTATTATTCTTTTTTAACTGACTTCAAACGAGGAGTTTTTTGTGTGTTTGTTACGCGATTACTCCGCCAATTATGATTTTCATAATTCTTTTTTATTAAGCATATTAAGGGCAGAGGTGGTCCGTTTATTTTTTTTCAAAATTGAATCAGTAGTTTTCTTTTTATAACAAAACAAAATATGCCTTTCGTCGGTTATCACCTAAATATGTTGATGTCATTTTTATATCAGCGAAAAAACACAAGACTTCTATGTTCATAACGAGTATTAAGAGTAATATCCTGTTTGTGCAAATATTATACTTTTATATATTTACTAGCTTTCGCCAGCGGCTTCGCCCGCGTGGTTCCTAAGGAAATGTTTAGTGAGATAAAAAATAATTTAAATAATTCTGTAGGTATATCCAGGGTAAAGTAAATCTGACCTAACTAACTTCTATTTTTTTTCATAAAAAATTTCATGTTTGCTAGTCAATCACGCTGCAACCACTGAACAGATTTTGATAATAATAAATCATACAACATTGATTATGACTATCTTATAATATTGATCTATATACGATGTTGTATGATGTATTATTTGCAGCAAGTACATACAGGTTCCTTGCACTTGACACTCGAGAACATGCCACATAGAGCTGGCCATGGGTAAAGCAGGGAATGCCCAAATGTATGTCGGCCACTTTTAGGGTTTGTCCCTGGGACTTATTGATGGTCATAGCAAATGCCAATTTCAATGGGAACGCAGCCTTTTGAACTGGAATGGTAAATTGTGGGGTATAATGGGTATGCGGGGAATCAACACGCTCTCGCCTTTAGCTGCTCCCGTAAGTATTGTTGCTCGCAGAATGTTTCTTCCCAATTCGCTGATTTGTAATCTTGTGCCGTTACACAATCGCGGAGCGTCAAGATTACGCATCAACTGGGACGCCAACCTTCAGCTCCAGCTTGTGGGGCGGTACGCAGGTCAATTCTAATGAGTTGAGAAATTCCACGGGATACGCAGTGCTGTCATCGCTTGCCATCACCGTGTCTATGGACGTGTACACACTCGATGAGCCATCTACATCTAATATCTTGTTGTTTATTTTATTCACTAATTCATTTTTGGCGACAGTACTGCTCTCTCACACAACCACTCCTCATTATTTAATTTGTTTTTTAAATCGGGAAATACATCGGCGAGTAGTTCTTCCTCGGTAGCACAAAATTCATTGGTGAAAATGATTTTGCCGTCCGGATCGGTTTTCAGCCTACCATCTCCGATCTCGAGCAGCTTACTCGCAAAGCACCTGACTCTGTATCATTGTAAAGTTGTGCATGCATATTCCGAGTAAGGTGGAGTTTTTCTACGTTGGACCAAAGTGACGAAACCTTGAGACACGCGTTCATTTCATTTGCCGGTGTACCCCTTTCGATAACTGGAAGAGTTTGCCGAAAATCACCAGTGAGTACAACAACAGCACCTCCCATCAGCGTCTCATTGCTGCGGATGTACTGCAGGCTCCGGTTTAAAGCCTCAACCACGCGCTTGTGCGACATTGTGCACTCGTCCTACACGATTAATTTACATTGTTGCAAAAGGGCACCGCGGTCGCTGCGTTTGCTAATGTCGCACGCTGTTTTATCATTTTCACCAATGTTTTATCTTAATACATACATACTGTTTTATCTTAATACATACATGTACATAAAATAGTGTTTAGAAAATCGGCAATATACGTTGTTTTATTTTCTCAAAAACATCGTATTAAAATCTAAACTACTTATCCAATCTACATGGTGTAAAAGACAATTTTCATGTATATTAAATTTCTTCGACGATAAACATATTTATTTCGATAAGGATTTAATATCACCTTTCAAATAAACGTTTAAAGACGGACGAAAAATTTAAATAGACTTATATAAAGTTCTTTTTATTTTTGTGGCAAAACCCTTGCATATAGATATATGACATCGCGGACTTTTTTATAGATAATTTAAGGCTCTCCAACTTTTCTTTAGAAAGCATTAGTATATCTCATACCGTTTAGGAAGCGTTCACAAAAATAGGCGCCGTTGGAGGTACTTTTATCCCTAGGGAACCTTTTGGTGGGATAAAAAGTATCCTATTATCTAAGTCAGGTAATACTCTATCTGTATACCCAATTTCATCAAAATCCGTTCATTAGTTTCGGCGTGATTGACGTACAAACATCCAAACATCCAAACATCTAAACATCCAAACAAAGAAACTTTCACATTTATAATATTAATAGGATGTAAATATACTCTTTGTAGATTTAGTATTAACTCCGATAAAAGTCTAAGGGTTTGAAGTTCTGTAGTCAGTATAGGTGTCTTATATACTTTACTCTTTGGATGTCTTGCA